TGACTACAACTGTATATCATGTTATCATAACGATATAAAGTGGCAGTATGATCGTAATTCTACTGTGCATTTACACCGCGGCCACTGTAAAAAGGTCATTCCCAGCCACTAGACTTTTCTGACAGGGTATTCAAGTGTCAGATGTGAAAGTATGTTGTGGAACAGAAGTTATTATTATGGATTGTAGATATAGAAATTTAGAGGTGTTTTTTTCAATGTTTTTTTTTAAGCATGACGATAAAACATGAACGCCATTAAGAATGTGTTAAATCATATGATTGTTTGTTGTAAAACTTCGTAATAATGACAAAAATACTAATTTGTGCATCTCCTGACTTCTGTGTGCAGTTGTAGATGGTGTATTCTGGGAAATTTTCATACCCCTTGGTTTCATGTGTGGTCTTTTCCCCTTAGTCCCATGCCTTCAAGCTAAAGAGAATTGGGACACCCCTACCCCTTCACATGAACATGCAAAACAAGGGGTAGGGGTAAGGGGAAAGGCTAAGGGGTAGAATTGGAATTGGGCCTTAGATTATCCATGAGTGCGAGCTTCCATGAGTGAGAGCTTGTCATACAGATCACCTAACGAAGGGCTGACCTAAACCCTTCCCTTAAGCCAATCAATAGTATTTTCAAAAACAAATACAATATAAAAGTACACTACAACCACAAAGGTTAACCTTGATTTTACGTTGCTTTTATATATATTTATATAAAGTGTCTCAAATATTCTGAAACACATTAAATTCCTTTGAACTGAATCTCCTTGCATTCTGGGATTCACCTCTCCTGATGACACTGGCGACAGGCTCTAATGATAAAATGATGATCTTTAAATTAAATTCTGCAGCAGCACCCATCATTCTCCCTAAATTTATGTCTGCTCTGATTAAAATTAGTCGACGGTGATAGTCTCAAAACACTACATCAAAGAATTCCCCTTTTAAGCAAGCCACAGACCCGAAATAACCTCTGCAGCATAAGCCACAGTCACTTCCAACACGCTGGAGAGATTCTTCAAGAAAAGTGGCGATCCTGAGTGCCGTGTGCACAGACAGAAGGATAAGGAGCACGGCCTTCCCCAGAGAGAGTGACATTCTGCAGATAAGCAACTGAAATTGCCATGTGGTTTGTTGTGATATCAAGCACACTGTGGCATCCGCCGTGTTTGCCGGTATGAATGAAAATGTTTGGAAAGACAATGCGTGCTCCACGATGAAGTGTGACACTGCGGGTGCAGTGACGATCACACACTCAGACACTGCAGTCTTGCGTTTCCTCAATAGGGGATTTGACAGCTTTGTTAAACTCTGGATCTCTGCCGGAGCTGTCTTGGTTTACGGTGCTTTCATTTGGATGGTAAAAATGATATTCCACTTCAATTAACCTTTTTCTTTTTTTTTTACATGCAGCACTGGAATTTGTGAAAGTGACACTATATATATATATATATAAAGCTCTGAATAAGCAAAAACTTTTAACATTTAGTTAAATGCCAGAATGGATTTATCTTTCTTGCAAAACTGGAATATTGCATGACTGATTTGTAAATAAAGCAGTGTATGTCATCAAGAGAACACAAATAAAAGTTGCAATTGGCAAAAAAAACAAACACTTGTAGCTTTTTTACTACATTAATGACATACTAACAAACAATGTCTTGTTCTCTTAAATCCAGAGGCAAATTTCCAATGTTTGGGATCACAATCGTGCAAGACAGTTATGGGAGATAATTTAACCAAATCATTTTGATGACACACTTTGGCTCAGGCATTTCACTTCATGAAAGAACCCTTTCTATCCTGCACATTTTAATGAGATATCCTAATGGGCACTATGCATGGATGGGAACTGTTTTATGGCTAAATAAATTCTCCTATACTAATTTATTGTCAAGTATTAATGTATTGAGCCTTATGGGCACTAATAAAACGGAAAGTGGTCCATTCATATCTGAAAGTCTTTTGTTTGGTCTAAAGTTTAGGATGTGCTAGAAGTTATTTTTTTAACATAAAATATATTTAATTATTATTATTATATATTTATTTAATATATATTTAATTATATATTATTATAGTAGCACCTAACCTTCCAGCAAGTGGAATTTCATTGTAACATGAAATAGGAGTGTAATGGTTCACATATTCAGAGTGATTTGTTTTCTTTCAGTATGCATTTTTATCAAACTAATACAGCATTGCTTTAATCACTATGTGGAACTTAATTAGAAACTGCTAGTTTTAATTATCCGTATTTTACTGAGTCGATATTGATTCTTGGGTTCCAAGACCAATTTTCATTCTATGCATTTTCAGTTAATGTGTTAGTAAAATGTCATAATAGCACCCATCTTGTGCATAAATGTACATATTTATGCAAAATATTTATGTACATATTTATGTACAGCTGGTTCAGCTGGCATTTTCTTGTGTGAAGTTTGCATGTTTTCCCTGTGTTGGCATGGGTTTCCTCCGGGTGGTCCGGTTTTCCCCACAAGTCCAAAGACATTTGCTATAGGTGAATTGAGAAGGCTAAATTCTCTGTGGTGTACGTGTGTTAATGAGAGTTTCTCCTAGTGGTGGGTTACAGCTGGAAGGGCATCCGCTGTGTAAAACATATGCTGGATAAGTTGGCGGTTCATTCCGCTGTGTCGACCCCTGATTAATAAAGGGAAAATAAAATAAATGAATGAATAAATATTTACTATACTCCTACAGCTTGTCTAAGGTAGAGTAATGTGTATATTTATAATGTGCATTTATCCTGTATGGCCATACACCTAAAGCACTTCACAATCATGAGGGGGGTCTCTCCACATCACCTCCATTGTGCAGCATCCACTTGGATGATGCGACGGCAGCCATGGGATAACCGCGCCAGTTCGCTCACCACACACTAGATATTTGTGGAGTGGAGAGACAGTGAGATTACTGATATCCTAATTATATAATCTGTCATGAAAGAAGGTAATGCCACTTTACAGATGATATACAGTGTACAAAACATGGATGGCATGGTGGCTCACTGGTTAGCTAAGTGGTTAGAGTTGTTGCTTCACAGTAAGAAGGTCACTAGTTTGAGTCCTGGCTGAACAAAGTGGCATTTCTGTATAGAGTTTGCTTGTTTGTCCTCCAATAATATCTGACTGCAGACTCAGTCAGACTAATCTCAGACATGCAATCTCAGACATAACGAACTCAGTGGAGCTACTGATGTCACTGTAAGGGGTAGGGCAAGGGGCAGTGTTAGGTGTGAGCATTAAAAGCATTGCATGCAGCTCAACTTACATCTGCACCTGGTCTACAGCAAGACCCTTCTCTGTTCCCCCATGGGTTTCCTCTCTGTGCTCCGGTTTCCCCCACAGCATATAGGCGAATTGGATAAACTAAATTGTACTGTACATTGTTGATAGATAGATAGATGATAAATAGCAAATGAATTTAACAGCTTTGTCACTTTTGTTAATTTTGTTTTTGAATTTGTTATAAGACAGAACTACATTTTAATTATTTACTACATTAAAATTAAACATATTGCCATAAATAATGACATTTTTAAAAGTATTTTATCCCCTACTATATAAAAAATGTGTCAAACAAAATAAGGAAAAATATATACAGTATTAATAATGGGCGACACAGTGGCTCAGTGGTTAGCACTGTCGTCTCACTGCAAGAATAAGAAGTTCGCTGGGCTCTAGCTGATTCAGTTAGCATTTCTGTGTTGAGTTTGCTTGTTCTCCCTGTGTTTACCTGGGTTTCCTTTGGGTGTTCCAGTTTCCTCCACAGTCCAAAGACCTGCACCTAGCTAAGTACTATTAAATTGAATTAAAGTGAATTGAAGCAAAATTTGCCGTAGTGTGTGGTTTTGTAGCTGAAAGGATATCCACTGCGTGAAACATATGCTGGATAAGTTGGCAGTTCATTCAGCTGTGGCGACCCCTGACAAATAAAGGGACTAAGTCAAATCAATTGATATAATAATAATAATAATAATAATAATAATAATAATAATAATAATAATAATAATAATTTTTCACACCCTAGTATGACCCTATGCTTTATTTTTGATTTCACATTATAGGAATAGCTCACCCAAATATAGAAACTTCCTCATTGTTTATTCTCCATCACGTGGTTTTAAATCTTTATGAATTTATTGCTTCTGCTGAAAACAAAAGAAGATATTTTAAAGAATGTTAATGATGGCAGAATTTATTATTTGAACTATCTTTTCAAGTAATGAAATTTATAATTCAGCACTGACAAAAAAACATCAACAACATATATTTTTAATCTGCTGTGCAGAAATCATGAAACATTCATGAATGAATGAAAAAAAAAAACTCAGCAAAAATGTTGAAATGTAGTCAACATCAACAACAAAACATAGCTTTTCTGCTACTTGCCTAGTCAGCACATTACATGTGCAAACATAAACAACAGTGTAACATCCTACTGACAGCAGCAGACCAGACAACAACATGAATGTGGCTGGACACGGAGCGATGAGAAAACACATGGTGCTATTTATAAGTGTCATTACTGTGTTGTTTAGAAGCGTGAGACTCCAGTGATGTTACAGGATACTGATAGTTTGTAAGCAGATGCCGGAAGGCAGAAAGCTGATGCCAACACAGAAGGCCCACATTTCCTCTGTCCTGCTGAGCAAACAGACTCAACCCCTCTAGAGATCCTTATGCCCCCCTGATGCTGAAGCAGCTTCCCATGAAATCCCAGAGAGATCACATTCCTGCATTTTCTGAGGGAACCAGGGCATTTACAGCAGTGACATTTGGAAAAAGAGGTCGCAGAGGTGAACATATGCTAGTATGTCAATGTTGCGCCAAGCGAGGGAATTCATGCAAAGGCCTCAGGCGGGGTTAAAACACTTTTCATTGATTTATGCATTTACTGAGCCTATTTATAAGTCATCTTGGGCCTCAAGGTCGACCAAAACATCTCGAAGGAAAATATGGATGAAGGTGACGGTGCTCTAACCTCTCATTGGTATCTACTTCTTCCATCTCAGGCATCTGGCCGGTGGAACTCAGATTCATGTACCCGTCGATGCGGAGCGGCCCTGTCAAAAGGACAGAAACAGAGGTTACACTGATTGAATGTTCAGGACGCAGCGTTCATTTTAACTCCTAACCCTTCCATTTATTTTAAACAGGCTGTTGTGATGATTTGCTGTTGTGGTGCTGATGACAAAAATAGCAGCGCAGTGAAATTGGGTCAGCCGAAATTTAAAAAGAAGGGGAATATATCAGTGGATGAAAAGTGTTATCTATTAACCCCAGGATCAATGTGAGAGACAGGCTGTAACGTGGCAGTAAAAATTTACAACTGTTGTTGAATGTCATGTGTCACAGAGGAGGGTAAAATGACATATGAGCTCAGCAGCCTGTTTGAAAACAAGCAATGTTCTAGTTCCCAATGTCAATCCGTCTGCAGAAGCTTAAAAGAAATGAGAAGAAAAGGTCTTCAATAAGCAATTTCATGACCTTTAGACAAATTCATTATTTATCCATGACTGTCCTAGTTCTAGAACAAGGATTTAAGAGAATAATTTTAAAAATACTGAACTGAAAAAGGCAGATACTGTAGGTAAAAAGAGTCTTTATACTGTATCCAGCATAAAAAATATGCTTCTATTTGTGAAAGTCTGCTAAAAAAAACTGGTATTATGTGTGCTGCATTCACATGGGAGAACTGAGTTAGTGAGTTAAAAGTGACTTGAAGTTTATTTTAAGGTGAAATTTCATCTTACATTTACATAGTTCACTCTCCAAAAAGAAACACTAAGCGCATGTGGACTGTTCATTTGTATTTAACTGATTTGTTTTTAACTAATTTGTACTGTATATATACAGTTGAAGACAGAATTATTAGTCCCCTTTGAAGTTTTCTTTCTTTTTAAAATTTTTCTCAAACTATGTTTAACAGAGCAAGGAAATTTTCACAGTATTCATTCATTCATTTTCTTGTCGGCTTAGTCCCTTCATTAATCCTGGGTAGCCACAGCGGAATAAACCGCCAACCTATCCAGCACGTTTTTACGCAGCAGATTCCCTTCCAGCCGCAACTCATCTCTGGGAAACATCCACACACAAACACGCACACACTCATACACTACAGACAATTAAGCCTACCCAATTCACCTGTACCGCATGTCTTTGGACTGTGGGGGAAACCGGAGCACCCGGTTTCTGCCAACTGCCAGAACTGAGCCAAGGTTCGAACCAGCGACTCAGCGACCTTCTTGCTGTGAGGCGACAGCACTACATACTGCGCCACTGCATCGCCAATTTTGACAGTATTTCTGATTATATTTTTTTCTGGAAAGAGTCTTATTTGTTTTATTTCGGCTAGAATAAAAACTGTTTTTTTTTTTAAACCATTTTAAAGTCAAAACTATTAGCCCCTTTAAGCTGTTTTTTTTTTTTCAATTGTCTACAAAACATACCATTGTTATACAAAATTTGCCAAATTACACTAACCTCCCTAGTTAACCTAATTAACCTAGTTAAGCCTTTAAATATAACTTTAAGCTGTATAGAAGTGTCTTAAAATATCTTGTAAAACATTATTTACTGTCATCATGGCAAAGATAAAATAAATCAGTTATTAGAAATGAGTTATTAAAACTATTTTGTTTAGAAATGTGTAGAAAATCTCTCCAATAAACAGAAATTGGGGAGAAAATAAACAGGGGGACTCAGAATTCAGGGGAATATAATTCTGACTTCAACTGTATATATGGAAGCTTTTTCCTAACAAAATAAATTTTTCATTCAAATGCCTAAAAAGATCAAATAATAAATTGTACTTTCATAACAACTGATAAATGGAGTGATCAAATAACAAAACACATTGCATTCTCAAATGAAAAATCAAGTGTATTTGATATTTAATTTTCATGAACAACTGTAAAATCCTGTAATAATTAAATGACCAATCAAACGCTCAAACTATAAATCAAATAGACACACAGCTGGAAACTTATGATGGACTGATTACAAGGACTATAAAGACCCCTCATACACACAGACTCTGTGCTATTTCTTTTTTTTTTTTTCCTGTGAAGCATTACAAAGCATTTTTCCCTGTTTTTCCTGCCATGTTTTGATCCTTTTCTTGTTTCAAATTTTGGTGACTATTTCATGCAAGCCATTTTTTTCACCCTCATTTTTAATGCTCACAGAGTCCTACCATGCAGGCAGAAGCAAGAAAGCCAATGGGTAAAAATGAAAATTACTGCATTTATTGTTAAACTGATGTTCAATGTTTTCAATGAATTACTACAAATTTTAAATAAATAAGTAAGCCAACCATTAAAATGGGACTCCCGAGGGTCTATATTTACACTGACACAAACAGACCACAAGATTTTAAGCTATATTTAGTAAATAACCCAATAATCAAAAAAGCCTATCATAAAAATCTAAGAGAAATGAAAGCATGAGGTCTTTTTTCCAAAAGCTTCCATTCTCAATTTTCACTGTGTGGTAAACCACAGAAAAAAGCATAACACAGTTTATGTGAATATGTGTATATTTGTATAGCATTTGTATGCAATAACCTAATATGCACATACAAAATCAGGTGCATAGAAAAAGAACTACACGACAAGCCATTATTATTTTCTGTCGGACTGTTTAGGGATGTTCAGATCCAATCACATGATCGGAAATCGGGCCCGATCACCCGATTTCAGACTTGATCGGAATATATTGTACATATGGATATTCTCATTATTTTTTTTACACATCTATAGTTATGTGGTGGCACAGAGTTAGACCTCTTTCTTGACTTCACACAGAAACAGCAACACGTGCAGCATGGCATCACTTTGTTGCAGAGACGCTATTGGTTAAATGCCGACAAAGTACAGTAGAACACGGAAGCAGCTTGAATTTGTTATTTGTTACTTATTTGTTCAAGCTACCACACAGAAGTGCTGTTTGTTAACATAATTGTTGAATGTTAAAATAATGTGAATTAAATAAAAATATAAGGAACATCCTGGATCTGTTTCTTTGCTCTTCTTTATTTTATTTTTTTATGTATTATAGAAGTATCGGCTCGGGTTTTGGTATTGGTAGACACTCAAAATCAACTGACTTGGAAAAAATCTGATCGGGACATGCAAAGTATTGTTCTTAAAAGCTATATGAATTTTGTTTTGTTGTTGTTGTTGTTGTTTTTCCATGCTTTTTACCACTTTTTTATTTAGTTTTTAGGGCATTAGTATCTCCAGCAGAAAAAAAACAGAAAGAAAAGAACAATATTCAAAGATGCCTTTTCAAGTAGTAAAGAAATCAGTATGTTTGAAACTAATGAAAAAAAAAAACAGAAGTCAATGATGTATTTAAATTATTTAGCCTGAAATGTTTACTATTCCACAAAATTTAAAACGTTTCTTAAAGTAAATATGGTGATGTTCAAAGGTGAAAACTGTTTCTTACCCAGACTTAAAAAAAAAAAAAAACATTTTAGAACAGTAATCACAATTCCATGATACTGTAAAACCATGATATTTTTTATCCAAGATTATTATAATGTTATCATAAAACTAGCATATCACATTAGTGAAATTAAGTACATACTGCTAAGTTGCATTGAACCAAATTTGTGTAAATTCTGGACTAACCTATTGTTCAGTTTTTTTTTTTTTTATTAAATTAAAATGCCATTTTTTGACCCAGCTGTTGGATTTGCCATTTGATCCAGCCCTGGGTTAATACAATCCAGCATATTTCAAAGTGTTGTAAGATTATTGTTGACTCGATAAGTAAACTGGAAGAAGTTCTCACTATCATAAGAAGATTTTTGCTCCTGAATTTCACAGAAGAATGAAAAGTCTAGTATGACATGAAGATGAGAGTGGTGTACAGTAAATAATAACAGAAATACAGCTGGATAAAAAATGTCAATGCCCTACTTATTTTCCAAACTGAAATGAACATTTATGAGGTTAAGATATACCAATTGAGAGTCACAACTATAAGCTCTTCAGACTTCACTCGAGGGCACTTATGAGAGGTTTGATTCATTCTGCTGGAAAGAGAGCCATGTCAAATGAATTGTCTCCTGTTTTCTTTCACATCTGAAGCAAAGAGATTTGTAACTGCAATAAGAGCCTGGGTCCAGGCACATGCACAGACGTATAAATCCATGCTGGCAGAAATAACAGCACCTCTGCAGTTGGGAACCATGCCCACTTGAAATACACACACACAGAGAGAAGAGAGAGGATCTGGTAAAGGTTTACAGTAAACGTGGCTGAACTGGTGGGATTCTCATCAGCTCAGTGTGAGAGGAGAATTCCAGCATGAGCCCACCAACATGGATTTTAAACTTCCAGACAGGACACAGTTATCCAGTTGGTGGCCAATCTGTGTTTTCCATTCTCTCTGTGGTACAAACAATCACACAATGGACTCTACCGATGTATACACCTGCAGCGGACAGACAGAATGGCACCTATTTAAGAAAAATAATTGCATTCATTGTCTGTCAGGTCTGACTGGCTACACCAGGGGTGTCCAAACTTGGTCCTGGAGTACCGGCGTCCTGCTGAGTTTAGCTCCAACTTGCTTCAACAAACCTGAAAGGAAGTTTCTAGTATATCTAGCAAGAGCTTGATTAGCTGGTTCAGGTGTGTTTGATTAGGGTTTAAACTACACTCTCCAGGACACCTCCCCTCCTGGACTGAGTTTGGACACCCCTGGGCTACACATCCTCCATTCTAAACTAGGGGTGCAACGATAAACCCATTTTACTTTTAACCATGCTTTAATTCGCAATGGTTGTTTAATCGTAAAGGCCTCTTAACATCGTATTTCTGCACAAAACAAAACAGTAGCAACTTAACAAAGTTATGCCAACTGGGCACTAGTTTAAAGTTCCGAGCTAGTAGACGGAGGTTAATACTTAATACTATACTACAAAAATTTTTTAAACTCAATTGCGTTTAATGAACGATTTATATATATATATATATATATATATTACTTTTCGATTAATCACCCAGCCCTAGCTAATATGCACACACACAGGACTAACTATGGCTGAGGC